GACTTTTGATAGAACACAATAGAGAAAAATGATTCATGTAGCCGACCCCACGTAGTGGGACAAAGGCTTAATGTTGTTGTTGTTGTTATCGTTGAACCATGCACCAACTCTACATGTTTGTTTGAGATAAAACGCGAGTTATTCCTCAACCGCACACTTGGAAGCATGGCATGCAGGCATTCTAGGAATCAACACCAAGATGCGTTGGATTTAGATTCAACAATAAAAAATGAAAGAAGGAATGGACCATTATTCACATCAACATCAACAGCAGTTAGTAGTGCACCACAATACTTCCCAAGAAAGAATGTGCCTCCAAACTTAAGACTACCCAACAAAACATCAACACCATATAATTGAACCAAAAGCCTAGAATATCCAGTCAAATCTGTGTATCAAAGCAATGTAACTTGTATATTGTGCCAGGGATGGCTGAGACAACAACCTCCATGAACAATTTATCGTGCAATATGACTGCTCCCAATAGCCAAAAATAACTTTTTTATTATCTTTCTTCTTGTAGCCTAAGTTTTCAGTACAACACCCTAATATTAAACTTTGCATCAATGAGATTGACAATTTCTCTTAGTTTAAGGTTAATCTATCTTCAAATAACTGGGAGTGTCAAATGACTGATGAATCTATAGAGGTGCACTTCATATTGTCCACAAAGAAGTACAGGATTTTAACATGTATGTGTGTGCCTAACAAATGATACCTTCCATGATCCACCCAAGCGCCGACTAGAACAAGTGTGCAATCGCCAAAAGCATAGACGTAACTTGGCTGAATTATGTACACAACATATTGTATACATCTTATAGGTTGATTAACGGACAAAAATTTGGCATTATTTGTTATGAACTACCTCATAAGTGCAAATTGTAGATCATTTTTTGTTGGATAACATGTGTCTTCTAATATTTCATCAGGTATCTCAAGTGCATAAGCTATCACTGCTGTTTTCGTAACATCATCAAAATTTAGCTCATTACTCCACTCTTTTGCATTCATATACATATCCATAAATGAACTCCTTAAAACCATTATATCGGTCGTGCTTATAGTCCTTGCATAGTAATCCCTAATGAGGTTATGTGCTACGCGCTCTCCTAAATAAATCCTGCCAAATTCGATGACAATATCATATGAATTATCACTGGACTATCACTTGTGGAGCCACTCATAGTTACATGCCTTTAAATAATTGCATATTTGGATTGTGAATACTCAGCTTGAATGTCTACACAGCAACGTGTTTCAGCTAACCTGCCTAGCACATTCTTCTAATTTATATTTGTAAGTAAACTTCTTACTTAAGAAAACCAAAACAATTTAACTAAGTATCAATACGAAACTTAGAATGTAAAGAATCCATCAATGGATCTTTGAACCCGGCAGTTCATCTGTTGCACATCCCCAAAGCAAAATATGTTTTCCCTATCACGGATGATATTATTCTCCTCATTGCATTGTGAAACATAAAGCTCTTCAACCTTAAAATATACTATCAGAAATTGACATAAAGCATGATGCATGACAACTTCACAAATCTCATTATCATCAATTTCTGATGCAATAAACAATGTCCAACGGGAAATCGATATACTAGTTTGACCCAAACTTTAGTTGAATCTAACTTTAGGGCTCTCACAATTAATGATTTTAATTGTTCTATGTTTGTGTTTGTCGGTATCTATAGTGGTCTACTATGCCCACAAAGATGTGTTGGGGAAAGTGCTCATCAATCATTAATTAACCCTCATACACTAACAACAAAGAAGCAGAGCATCTTGACATCCTTCTTCATATAATGAAAGTGCAAATGAAAAGGATTATAACGCAAGTTCAATTAATTGACTTTAAATATGGATAAACATATACTCAACTAACATTCATGATCTAAGTGCTTGTTTCTTTCATATATTAGTACAAATATCATAAAAAATGAAAATTATTGAGCACTATAATTGTATTATAGTTATTAATAATACTTTAATCAATACATATTTTTTATTTAAAAAAATGAAAATTTAATATAGTCAAAATATATAATACCGTCCATTATTCATCCATATAAAATGCATTAATCATTTGATAGATTGCGAAACAAACAATAAAAAAATATAAATTAGGAAATATTTTTTAGTTCACAAACATATACTCAATATGAGTAAATATATAATTGGATAGTCTCATAAATTAATTAGATTTAAAATTCTACTGACAAAAAATACATAAAACATATACTCAATATGAATGAATCATATTATTAAAATTACATAAAAAAGATATCTTACAAACTTCTAAAACAAAATTTGGACAATAAACATTATAGATCTACATCAAGAAAAAAAATTAAACATAACTTCTAATAAAAATTCAAAAAACAATATTTCAAAACATAAAAACCTAAATCTAAAATTTCTATTATGTTCTCATCTAAATATTTCAACCACTCACTAAACTAAGCATTTTTCAACACAAATCAACTAATCCTTGAACTAAACTAAGAGAACAAAACATCACTTTTTTCAGGACAAAAAAAAAAAAAAATCTTACCCCTTCTAGTCGATCAACTATGCAGAGCAAAAAGGAGCAAAGAAATGGGCGAAGGGGGCATGAGTGAAGAAAGATGGATGAATTGGGGAGAGAATAGCCACTTGTCCGTTTAACCAGCGACTGGCTTTGACACGCTACCACTAGTCGCCGCTTAAACTGACAACTGTAACTATTGTAAAAAAACTATTTACTTTTTTTATATTTAATATAAATTATTCTAAAAAAATTTCCAAAGATCAGTATGAGTTGCACGTTGGACATATAGAATGCGATAAAGAGAGGGGTAAGATACAACAATGATGGCAAGGATTTGACCTCTCACGTGATTTCTCATGAGTCTCGATTTGCATGTTGTTATCTTATGAAGAAAAAAAATTTGCATTTCAAATCATTCGACAACCCTGACAATATGTGTCCTAACTAGACATTTTTAATGTTCTGAATGCATCAATGTGGTCCATTTTATAAACGGGTGACTTTGCGTACGTCGCATTTATAAATAATCATTTTCGACTACGTTCACTTGAATCAAATACAAGGGTCCTTTAAGATAATTTGGTAATTCTAAATGCATCAATAGAATCCATTTCATGAATGAATGACGTTCAAATGATTTTGCACATCGCATCAGTAGATCGTCATTATCTGCATGCTTGTTTGAGTTGAGCAAGGTACATTCCTTGGTATTCTTGATAATTCAGCTACATTAGTGGTCTTTTTGCTACTGATGACATTTGAGTAGTTACTCGCGACATCGCATGGATCAATCCTCCACATCACACGTGCTTGAATTGATTTAGAGCACATGGAGGTCAATAAGACCATTTTCGCAAAATATGTCACATTAAAGACTCTTGATGGAATATCTATGTTAGAACGATTATCCAAAGAAAGTTGTCGCAATTTCACCACTGTCATGAGAACTCCACTCCAAAACCGAATCTATTTAGCAAATAATAAATAGAAATACTCCATAAAATATTCATTCAAGCATAAAACAAATGTCCCTGCCTCTAATATAATTGATATAGCTTCATTAACACAAATAGGTATCTCTCAATCATCTTAAACATTAAAAAAAATATTTAAACGTGTGGGTTATACATTTTGATGCCTCGTATCATATAAAGGGTGATATCTCAATTCACAAAAATTATGAAGCAAGCAATGAAGAGCTTACTATTGCAATTGTTGATGATTCGCAATCCATTATTGCTATAATTGGGTTGGTCTGCATCTCAGGCAAATTAACTATTAATTCAAACTTAATAGGGGCAAATTGCAAATTAACTATTAATTCAAACTTAATAGGGGCAAATTTTGATTGTAATATCGTTATTCCTCATTTCGACCCCTCTCCAACATTGAATTCATCCACGATCTCTTGATATAGGTTAAACCATTCCAATTTTCCAATATAACAAGTCTAGAACAATGCCCTCGATAAAGAGAAATTATTCTATGCGGATAACGGACCGTCTGTGGGTAAATCAGAGCCCGCCACATCACCTGGTTTACAGCGGGTACACAGTCGCGATACACAACAAAGGGGTGACGTGGTGCGCTCTGATTCGCCTTCGGATGGAGTCCGAATTCGCACATAGTAACTTCACCTCGATATAGATTGAATAATTCCAACTTTTTAATGTAAAAGGTATGAAATTTATTTCACTAATGAGGCTCATTTCATCAGAATGTTTGCCTCTCCCCATGCAAATCATCATAGAATGTCTAAATGACAGGATATTCGTTGAGTTATTTCAATTTAATCTCATAATAATCAATATTTAAATTTTGCTTAGTACTGATATTCACTTGGTATCAATTAATCCATTTAATGCAGGTCGAAGGTAGAATTGATATATGAAAGTCATCCTCTATGCACTCAAATAAACATCAGACATACTTGATTAGAACTAATATGAATTTCTTTAAATATTTGATCTCAAAAAAAAAAAAAAAATCATTAGACTTATTAAAATCATTCCATTATGCTCAATATGAAAAAATGTCTACTTGTATGCATATAGGGGTGTCAAAATAGGTTTTCTGGTCGGGTTCAGTCCAACCTGAAACTGACCCGCCTTCAACTGTTCCAAACCCAACTCGACTAGACAAATGGGTTGGAAATTCAGACCCGGCCCGACACGCCACTAACCCGGGTCAACCTTATTAGACAAATGCAATTGCATATGCCTTGACAATGTAGTTTTACAATCCATATCAAGAGTACCATTCTATCAACTCCTGCAAAAGCACATTTTTAACATAAATACAAATTTTCCTTAATATATAAATTGATCTAGTAAAGTGCAGACATGAAATAGGTATCAAAATCATATCCATATCCGCTTGTACGAGGAGAGTTATCCACATGTATAATGATGAAATACAGGATAAGCGGAAAACAAAAAAAGAGGAAAGGGTAAACAGCATACCATAGGACCTCTCCACACAATTGGAGCATCCTTGTCCACAAGAAATCCAATGGACATACACTGCACACCATAGTTTTCCATAGGAACCATCTTCATATCTGAAACATATAAGTCAAAACAATTATTCCATGCACATGTCCGTCTAAAGCAGAAGTAGGAATATATGGAAACAATGACCCGTAGTGCAAAGCATAACTTTATAGGCATAAATTCCAAAAAGAAATCCTGATATTAACTAGAGCTTGAAACCAAACACCATGTCACACCCAGTTTCACCAAGAAAATAACTACACAAATTTAATAAGGATTTATGTAGTCTAGAGTACATAAAAGAAAATTATCTAATGTAACTTTTCTTCAAATGTAGGAGATAAAGATCACAAGGTAAAATTAAAGTCGCCCTAATTTAAAAAACGGAATGGTAAAAGGTAATGAAATTTATAGGAAACATGCTTCAAAATATCAACCAAAACAAATTTAGTAGTAATAGACAGCGCGATACAGTGCTAGAAAAACATGGGTTTGGCTATAATGAGAAAAAGCAAAAAGAACAGGTTGACTTGAAGCTAATAAATTTTGACATCATCATGAATGGGATTCAATATGCAGAAAGCATGAACTGATGTTAACCACCAGGATTTTAAACAGTCAATAAAAAACTTCCTCAAGGCAAGAAGTCAGACACTAAAATAACTTCCAGAAGGTAAGGCAGTTAGATTGATTGGTCAAATAAAATGATGTCAGGATGTAAATTCTCCAATTGTTAATAACTAATGTCATCATAGGATTTTCCATATTAGAAAGTTAGTAATGATAATATTTTGCCTGTATTATGTAATATGTTCTTTTAATTGAGAAAAGGACTAAGAATTTAGCTTGAAGATTGTAGGTCGTTCAAAAATCGATTCAATCTTGGCCTGGATTGAGCTCAACTAGAATCAAGTGGGTTGAATCCCAAGCCAAATAGGTGGATAGATGTTAATTTTAATTCAATTTCAAGCCATGGGTAGATCGATTCAGTAAGGCTCAAAATTGGATCAAAATTAATTTTTTTAAAATATGATTTATTATTATTTTATATATAATTTAGTTTAGCTAATTTTTTATAGAAAATTTTGTTGGCTAATTGGTTATGCAGCATTTGCAATTTGCGGTAGTTATCATTAAGTGGCATGGATTCAATCTTTTTTTTTTTTTTGAGTTATCTAATTAAATTTAAAAGACTCAGATTGAACTCAATGACTCCCATGCAAAAACTCCTAAGTCACAACCCCAGCCGTCCACTCATTTATTTTTTTGCATTTTCACCTCTTTGTTTTCTATGCAAGTTTGCAAAGTAAGAAGCCTAAGCCTAATGATGAGGACATCGTCAGCATTTTTCGACGCCGGAGATCGACGGCTACGATCATGAGTTTATTTTGAGTCATTTTATGTAGTTGTTTATTTGATTTTGTGTTTTTTCCGTTTTTGCCCTTATGGGTGGTTAGTTGCTATTGTAGCCCAAGGGGCATTTTAGTCTTTCGTTTTCTTTGTCATTGGGAGGTCTATTTATATGGCCATTCTCTTGTAATAATTTAGTTTTGGATGAAATGAAAAATTGCCACTTATGATCTCTTTGTGAGTTCCCCTCCTCTCTCTCTCAAATCTCTTAGTGAGTTTTGAGAAGAGCTAGATCTCTTTGTGAGTTCTAGTCATTCTTTTATCTTGTTTTGTGATCAAGTAGTGTGTGGACTCAAAGGAATTTCATCCTGACTGCATTCTCTCTGAAATTTCTTCCCTTCCACTCAGCAGTCCAGCCCCAACCAGCAGCTTCCCGCCAGCCACAAGCCTACCAGCTGCCGCTCAACCCCAGCCAGCCAACCCGTGACTTCATTCCATCGGTCACAGCCATCCCCTCCCCGTGCAGCCTCTCCCCCCCCCTTACGGCTCCCCAATCTCACGGTCAAACATCCACCCGTGAACTTCCAGCCCACCGCCTCCTGGCAGCTTCCATTGCCGCTGGATAGCCCTGCTTTGCCCAAGCCCGTGAAATCCAAGCCCGTGAAATCAAGCATTCAAGGCCTGATTAATTGGCTCATTCAATCAACATTAATTGAGCAAATAATCACTAGCCTTGGATTTCAATTTGAATTTCAAAACGGGGTTGCTTATTGTGTACATCTATGAAAGGCAACTTTCCTTTTTAGTGAATCCTGATTTCATTACAGGATTTATATAAAATCTGTTATGTATTTGTGTGGGCCCCATTTGATTAAACACCTAAGCCTTCTCTCCTCCATGTGGCCGGCCCATTGATGGCTCCTCTCTCTTCCCAATTTGACAATAATAACACCACAAAATCAGCCCAAAATTCTTCCCCTTTCACCGCCCCATTAATACCATTTGAATTAATTTGAATTCCTCAAATTAATTCCCTCCCACCTCTACCGAAACAGAAATTCCTGCACCCAACTCATTGTCTCTCCCTTGGCCGAATTCTCCCCAGCCCGCCAAAGCTCGAGTGCTCCTCCCGGGCCGCCGAATGCACCTTCAAGGAATTGCTGGCAAGAATTCCATATTCCGGCAACCTATCCAAGAACGATGATCCAAGGTATCTACTTCCTCGGAGCGACCTCGACTCTAAGGTGGAGACTCTTCTTCCGCTAAAGCCTAGATTAGTTGAGCGTATGGGCTCCAAAGGTGAAAGTTCTTATTATTAAATTGTGGACTTTTGTTCACCGTCGTAGTTTTACAATTTGAACTTTGCGTTTTCTTAAATTGTTTGGTTTCCGAATTTTGCTCATCCTTGCCTAAGCAAGTTAAAACCACGAATTCTAATGATCACTCTTTTATTATAAACGATAATTTTAATTTGGATTACTTTGTTCAAATCGCTCCCTATAATTTCCTAAAGTAACTCCATCATCACATGTACGTTTCACATCACCTAATCCCTTCTTCACTTCGTCCTTCCCCTGTTCGGCACTTCTTTGCTCGTCATAGATGCCATCAACTCTAAGGGGCACTCTTCTCCCATTCCCCCACTCTTCTTTTCTTATCCCTGCCAAGGAGAAAAGTCCTAGTAAGGTGTATTATAAATCTCATTATATTTGCATTTTTTTCTTGCAAGTTGGCTACTTGACTAATCTATATATGTATTGTGATGAATTTATTAATATCTCTCAACCCTTACATCATTAGTTACTACTTTGTCCATCATTCGTCTGTTGTTGTTGGTAAAGTTTGTCAACTATAAGGGTCATCGACCTAGCAAGGTGCATTCTGATATCTTTCTATTAAATCTATTCATGAGATACTAAATGATGCCTAGTTTTGTCATAATGATTTTGATAGGAAATACTTGATTTCAAGTATTTCCTATTCACTTTTACAGAAAATCTCCAAGCAAACTGCTGTTCACAGCAGGAAAACAGCAAAAACAGAGGGAAATCCGGGAAAAATCTGCGAGAAAACTTGCAAAAAGACTTGTATTTTACTAGTAGATGCAAGGAAAATAGCAAAGATACAAGGATCTTCTATTCGAGAGGAGGATCGCACTCTCCCAATCTCTAGAATTCGATCTAGAGCCCTAGCCACCAAAGAAGAACAAGAAAACTCTCACAAAAATATGACATAACCCTAATCCTCTCTTTACTCCCTACTTAATGCATACAATTCAAATCTAATACAAAAGGACCTAATTGCCCTTGCTTCTCCTCCTTTTGGCTCCAAGATTGTGTTTGAAATTCAAGTGGACCCCACCTTCCCCCATGGTGTCCGCCGGCCTCCTCCTGCTGTATGTGAACCGGACCGGCCCAAGGGTTTGGGCCGGCTGGACCGGTCCATAGAGGACCGGTCTAACATTACCGCCCTCACAAAGAACCACCTTGTCTTCAAGGTAGAAGTCAGGAAACTATCGCTTCATTCGCTCATATGGCTCTCACGTGGCCTCGTAGTCAGAGAGGTTCTTCCATTTGATCAGGACTTCTGTAGCTCCATCTGCTTTCTGACGAACCTCCATAAGCTCCAAAGGTTCCAATATCATTTCCATTTCATCTGTTAATGTTCCTGGTAACTCAGAACTGGTCGCATAATCTCCAATGGCCCTCCTTAGCTGGGATACATGGAAAACACGATGGATCGTCGCTGTCGGTGGTAGCTTCAGACGATATGCCACAGCTCCAATTTTCTCCAGTACTTCATAAGGACCGAAGTACCTTGGTGCAAGCTTCTCATTCCTCCGGTTCGCGATCGTTTTCTGTCGATATGGACGGAGTTTCAAAAATATCTTCTCGCCCACCTCAAACAGAATATCCTTATGATGCCCATCAGCTTGTTTCTTCATAATCTGTTGAGCCCTCAACATATATCTTTTTAACTCTTCCAGTGTCTTATCCCTCTCCACCAAATACTCCTCTACTGAAGAAACGGGTGTGTTGCTACTCCCGAAATACACCAAGTGGGGTGGATCCCTTCCGTACAACACCTTAAATGGGGTCATCTGAGAGGCTGAATGAAAAGAGTTGTTACCAGTACTCGGCCCATGATAATCATTTAGCCCATAGCGTGGGTGCTTCTGATGCGAAGCATCTCAGATAAGTTTCCAAGCTCTGATTGACCACTTCTGTTTGACCATCCGTCTGTGGGCGGTAAGCCGTACTCCTTTTTAGCACTGTCCCCTGTAGTCTGAACAATTCTTTCCAGAAATAACTGAGGAACATTTTATCCCTGTCTGATACTATCGCCTCAAGTACTCGGTGTAGTCTGACTATCTCCCTGATGAAGACTGACACTACTGTCACCGTAGTGTAAGGATGGCGTAGAGGAATAAAGTGAGCATATTTGCTCAATCTATCCACTACCACCAAAATCACAATGAATCCCTCAGAGCGGAGTAGCCCATCAATGAAATCCATAGATATCTCCTCCCAGACTCGTCCTGGTAACACCAATGGTTGCAGTAGCCACCCTGGTGACATAGCTAGATACTTATTCCTTTGGCACACCTCGCATCTGGATACCGCCTCTTCCACATCCCTATGCATACCTTTCCAGTACAGCTCTAGCGCTAGTCTCCTGTAGGTCTTTAGCACTCCTGAATGACCTCCCACTGCAGTTC